CTATGCAATATGTAGAGTAAAGCTAAACAGATCCAGACATTTGCCCTGAGTGGTTACGGCCGCCGTAGATCACAGCATCACGTGACCAGATGTTATAAATACGTCCTTGACGTTATAACTGATCTGTTAACTATTAGTTTTTATGAACTGCAGGGCAGCCACACCCACCAGGAAGTGCAGATAAACCAGCAACGCCACAGTAAACCAGTAAATGCCCCCTGATAAAAAGCAGTAAGACAGAGCAGTGTGTAAAAGTTGTCCAATAAAACACACTTTCCCATTCTTTTACACAGTGTGTGTGTTTGTGTGACTCTGTGAGGAGGATGCTGCGCCTGGAGGTGTTCTCTGATCCACCGCGTCAAGCCCGATCCTTTCGAGATRATCCATCCGGAAAAAAGTGCTTCATAAGTCGGTGTGAAGAGCTCAGGATGGTGGGCAGAGAGAGTCCTCCCTCCTTCCACACAACTCTTGATTCGCGTGCGTGAAAAGTTAACCGGAAACTAAAAAACTTTTTTCTTCGAACTTTTTTTTCTCTCTCTCTCCCCTCCTCCGAGGCGAAAAAGAGGAAAACGATGCGAGCCTCGGTGTCATAAACTTGCACAGTTCCTTGTTTTCAACATTTGCTTCGTTTCGCTGCTGGAAATGTRTCGGCTGCTCGTCGACAAGTAAATAGTTTCAGGCGAGAGGAGTTAAAGGGAAAACAGAGCGACGTCGTGTGATTTTAAGCTCATTCTCAAAGCCACATAACGGATCCTGCTGCTTTATCATGGAAGATGTGAGTACTCACAGCCTGAATGTCGACTGTTCCCTGACTTTTTCATGATATTGTCTCTTACGTTTGAAGTGTCGGACAGATGTGAAATTATGTATTTTGGTGATTTTATAGACGCCGAAGAGTGGAAGAAAAAGAAAAAAAAAAAAAGACGGGCGCGACCATCTTTTAACAGCAGACTCAGAGGCCCACAGAAGTGGTGTTAAAGTTTTATTTCTTTGACAAGAATTTAATGTTTTATAGCCACACCACACAGCTATTACAGCTAACATCATTTGGCACGGAAAGCACCTGCCCACCTGTCAGACTGCTGCTTCAACTAGTAGGTCAAATTCCAGAGAAAGCCCAGAGCCAGGGCTGCAGAACTCCGTGTAAATATCCTCACTTTTTAACCAAAGCTTGGTGTGCGTGCAACCTCTAAAGTGTTAAAACAAAATTTATGCCATTTATCTAGTCAGTGGGGTGTTGTGCTTCATTCGGCATGATTACTACACCCATTGCACACTTGTGAGAATTGCATTATCTCATCAAGTGTTGGGTTGCAGTCAGATTATTACAGGTTTTTGGCAGGAGAGCAGGAGGGAAGTGCAGTTTGAAGGGGTGGGGAACAGTTTTCAACTCGCGAGGAGAAAACTCATTTAAAGAGTTGATAGTTTACTAATACAGTATACTTCCTGAATTACACCTTCTCAGATGTGCTAATCTGAAACGTTCAACAAATGCCTAATTATTTCAAGAACAATCAAAACAAAGATTTGGGGTATTTCTGAGCAATAGTGGTGTGTCTAAGGAAATACAGTACATAACTGGACGCAGAACTATTTCACTGAATCTTACTAAAGAGCAGAATTTTCTAACCAACTACTGAGCTGCACACCACAACAACCTGACACATAGAGGAAGCCACTTTACTAGAAAAGGGAAGTGCAACAGAGACATACTATGTGCAGTGGGACTTGCTCCATGCGCTGTCACGAATGCAGTACCACACCCTTTAAATGTCACATACATAAAATAAGATATAAAATTTTGAATTCACACATTTCAGCTTCTTTTGCAGTACAAACTTTTACGAAATCCCATGACTGTGCGTATATTGTAGCTCGTTTGTCACATCCGTTTTTCTTAAAATAAACATCACAGAAAGGTGTGTGTTTGCAAGAAGTGTGAACACAGAGGGACACTTTTAACTCGGACTTCAGCAGACTCCAAACCGTACTGTCAAGCGAAGAAAATTGTGTACATGTGAAAAGTAAAAAGGCCTTTTTTTATCTGTAAGGTTTTTAGATCACATTACAGTGCTTACCATGTCGTAGGTGAATGAAATGAAGGATGAACAACACGACACGTCAAACTGTGTTATATTTATTATTTTAAAAATAATAAACCAAGTAAAAAATGTAGAACCAATTTATGCAAAACCTCACTCAAGTGCTTTCACAGAAAGAAAAAGGGRAAAATGTTGGTCTGGGGCTTTCCTTTTTTTAAGCATTACTCCAGCAGTGATATTAGAGAAGCAATTGTTGCTGCGTAACAATAAGTGTGTCGATGCCCCCTATGGTTTCCCCTGAGGTTAGACCGCGGGACGCACAGAGAAAATTTTGTTAAACACGAAAAAAAGACAAACAAGAAAACTGAAAGCTAAATTTCTAAGTTTACAAATCTCAGTTTGCTTGTTAAATGGTAAAGTTCATGGTCAGACATTTGTAATCAATAAGTAAGTTGAGATTTTGGAAGGAAAAAAGCTGTTCGAAAAGCGACATCTTGAAATTTGAATTTGTGTCGTAAAGGGACCTCATTCCTTTATGTTGTATGATTTTTTTTGTTGATCTTATTCATTATTTGTGATATTTGTGAAAGAAGAACAAATCTAGTAAGAACAACTAAAAATACAAGATAAAATAGATATTTGACTAGGACTTGACAGCACCAAATTTGAAGAAGCAGCCCAAACAGTTCATACTGTCAAGTGGGAGAGGGGTCATGATTTGGGCACCTCACAGCTGTGGAGTGGACCGTGAACTCTCTGAATGTCACAGTATTTTAGATTTAAACGTGAGTCTGTTTGTTCAACAGCTAAAACTTGGTCCCAGAACAGGACAATGATCCAAAACAGAACAACAAATCTACAACAGAATGATTAAAAAATGGATAGAATAGAAGTGATCCAGTTAAAGTCCAGATTTCAAATTGAGACTAGGACTCTGTGATGGGCCCCTCTGAGAGCTGTAAACACTGGAGAAATACTTATGAGTTGCTTATCTGAGGTCATTTTATACATTTTAAGAAATGGTGAGGATCAGAAATTATTAAATTTTTAATGTAGAGTGTATTTCACCCATTTTAATGTTTTTTTGTAAAACTTGTTCAGTAAAGGAACTTGTTGTGAAATTACAAATTTCAAACGTAATGTAAAAGGTTGTTAACGTGAGAATATTTAGAAATAAGCTTGTTGTTTTGAGATGACAGGTTTTAATTATTTATTTTGACTAAGATAGGGTTTTCTTGCGATAACTTGGAACAGTGTAAATTATTTCAAAATAATAAAAAAATATGATGTGATTTGAATCATTTCCTAGTAGATTTTGCAAGACATAATAAGTGGCCATTTTGTGATGTGAAACTTGTCGTCCGGTTCCCTCGTTTGAACTGAAACTGGCTTAAAAGGAACCAGTGGGAAAATGTCAGTATTAAAATTTTTTTTTTTATCTTTTTACATTTCAAGTGTTCCTTCATTTTGTGGGTTTGTTTAACTTTTATCAGTGCTGTTAAAGTTTTAATTTAGGAGAAAAAACTTGTTTTTTAAGACAGTTTTTTTATATTATAAATTATCTTGTATTTTGTGAGGTTTGTCTTGGTCACTGTATTTTCAGTGTTTTTAATCTCCCACTTTCTTCCTCTCAGCTTTCCTTTTCTCCGCTTTATCTCATATCCAAAAACCCTCTGTGACCCCTTGCATGATGGTCCTTTGTCTCATCTGTGTGAGTCATCCCCTTTATCTCCATTGCGCTGACCTAGAGTGCAGTATGTGACGTGTCTGCTTGACCCGTTTAGCCAAGAGGAAACAGACCGCCACATTATGCGCCGGCCAGAAAACAATTAACCCTCTCTCATGATTGCCTTGCAATCACGGCCACTGCTGCACAATGGAAGTGTGTGTGTGTGTGTGTGTGTGTGTGTGTGTGTGTGTGTTTCTGGATGAGTGCTTTCCGTTTCTCGTAAGTAC